TTTATTTAGTATTGGTTTGGGCGTACACTAAATTAAACAATTTCCAGACCCATTCACAACAAGCCAACGTTCTGCACACTGAGCTACAGGGATACCGTTATTTTTTTTTTTAGATTTTTCCAATTTCATTACAGCAGCCATTATTCATATAACTTTAGGCACCTCAACGTAGTTAAAAAGACGATAACTTCAAGCGTTCAGTAGCCGATACAAAACCAAATTTTTATGAACTAAACTTATGATGTCTGTGGAAAATTCGTTTCTTAAAAAAAGTGGAACACTTTATACCTGCACCTCTTCGTTTCGTGATTGGCGCTATAACCGCTTAAGAGATTTTGCCACCCCCGTCCCCCCCCCCCCCCCCTCGATAAAAAAAAAACAAGCAAAAGAAAAGAAATAGCCTTAAAACGTTTGCCGATGTCGTAACAAAAGAGGGAAAGGGTACCTACAAATGTTTGCTATTCTTTTTCACTAGAAAGGACTTTTAAGTTGCGGATTTCGAACCCTTAAACCGAAAATGTCTGAGTTGCTGCCACTAACTTTGTCTGCTAAAGACTGGACACTCGCAAATTATGTGGTCAAATCATTTTGCATTGTGGAAGGCCAACATTTTTTGGAAGAAACGAAAACACCATTCGCTACTACACATTTGTGTGATTAAAGACTTCCACCAGATTTTTATTTTTATTTTTTTTGTTTCAAATCAACTAATTCGAATATCATGTGAGCTAAAATGCATATGCAAATTCAAATTCAAAATGTGAATTTAAAAAAAAAAATACCATACAACGTGTTAAAACAAAAGCAATAAAGTTAAATCCCATTCATTGATATCACAAAAAAGTGATTTGTAAAATGCTGTTAAAGTGCCTTCACTTTATGTACATATTTACATATTTATGAATTACCATACTAAATCCGCAAATAATTCTCAAAGCGTCAATTTGTAATTGTTATAAAAAGTCACCTTGAAAGGTAAACACTTTTACAGTACTTAAGCAAATACTTATGTAAGTGGTTGTATGTGTAAACACTCAGCCGCAGGTGAAATCAATTCCACTTTGTTTGTTGTTGATGATATGGGAATTATTGTATGAAAGATAACTTTTTTACACTTGTTTTGCTGCTTTTTATCCGATTTTTATTTATTTATTTTTTCATTTTTTATTGTGCTATTTTGTTTTTTAGGCGCCCCTGCGCACATTTGCTACAACTTTGAAGTGTCTTTTTGATGGCGCTGAAGTGTCTGATAAGGTTCTTAATTTATTTTCATTTTCTTTGAGTGTTTATGCTGTGGCTAGAAAAAAAAATTAAATAAACAAATCCAAAGTTAAATATTATGGAATTTTTCTTCAAAACTCACATAAAAGCGATACAATTTTTTTTTTACGATAGTCTTTGTCTGTGTGCCTTCTTTTTCTACAATTGTGAAGTAATGCGAGCTGCTGTTTTTTGTCTGGAGCTTACATTTGAAGAGTCATATAAGCTTCCGAGCAACCGCAGCATTTTCCAGGCTGAGATATTTGTTGAAACTTAAGCGGCTCTAATTTCTTATGAATCACCTGTAAATATGCATTCATTGACAGCCAATCAGCCCTAAAGGAATTAGCGGCTCCATCGACTAACTCGCTTTTACGTTCCCCAAAGCAGGAATAGGTTAGATGCATTTTGATTAAGGGAAATAAGCCTTCTGAGAGCTAGAAGGAAATAGCAGATCAAAGATCTAGCAAATTGGTAAAAAATGCATTGCGACTAATGTTTAATCACCAACTAAATTTTACAAAAATCAATCCACAATACGGTTGTTAGCGTTTATTTTTATATTTATCGAATTTGCTATATGTACATTAGGATGGTACAAAAAAAAAAAGTAAATTCGGAATTTAAGCTCTCGCTCTCTAGGATTGTTCCTTACCGAAAAAATATTCCCCCCTGTTTTTTATTTTGAAATCAAAAAATATTTAGAGGTCGCCTCAAGCACTCAAAGTTTTCCATATAGTATTTTATATGGGAAAAAAACATATTTCCTAGAAATGGTATAGAATTCTTGAAAATCAATATTTTTCATTCGGAACACTTTCACTAAAAATACCAATTTTTTTATTTAACCATTTTTTATTATTAACTATTTTTTACAGGATCCCTAAAACCCAAAAAAAAAAAATGCAATGGGTGGACCCATAAAAAATCGCTAGTATTAAAATTTAGTAAAAAATAATTGCGTATCATTATTGCAAGTCTCCTGAAGAGAACCAGAGTTTTCCGATCGCAAAATATTGACTTTCAAGAATTCTATACCATTTGCACGACCACTAAATATTTTTTTGATTTCAAAAAAAAAAAACATATCGAGGGCTTATATTCAATACCCTCTATCTACAATTTTGATGAAAATGAGTTTTTGATGGTAACGTGAGCTCTTATTTATCCTTCAGCCATGACAATAATGCCAAACTTAAAATTTTGCTTTTATGGTATTATATTCTCATTTTGAAAAATCTACTATCTGCAATAACATTTTGTTACAAAAGCAAAATCCTCTATCTACACAATTTTGCTGGAAAATTGTTTTCATTACCATTTTTTTGTGGCAGGTCAAATAAAGACTGGGTAAGTTACATGTGCCGATGCATGTATGTATATGTTCCGCTAAAATCCGATCTTAGGTCAAACTAGTTTGCCCAGGCTAAACTTGTTCTACCTAATGCGATGTCCAAGCGAAACCAAATCTTGTGGACTGCGTAGCTTCAGTTGGACTGATGATGAGAGTTACAAAAATAGTTTATTCTAAGATCGGGTTTGGCCGGTAGCTTACAGGTATATACATGTCCGCTCATTTACTACAATAATGTCATAACTCAAAAAATCAAAACTCGAGAAAGACGGCTTTAAAGTTTTGAATTTACATATACGCCGATACTAAAAATGAATACATATTTTATTCTAGTGAGATTCTGGTAAAGGCCTGTATGCAGCTCTCAAGAAAAGCAAAAACTCCATATAAAATGGCGTACAAGAAATGGCTAAGAAATTTTCTTGATTCAAATTTCCTTAAGGCAGTACGCAGTTCTTAAGAAATTTACTACGCTTTCTACTACGGTTTTCTAAACTTTTTTTGTGAAGAAAGAACATAAGGCAACCCAGTTTTGCAACAGAAATATATGCCCGTTCCATTATTTCTTGAGGAAGTAGTGAGGCAACAGGCTGTGAAGTATCAAAAATAATGGCAATTTTTTCTTGACCGTTTTCTTGAGAGCTGCATACAGGGCTTAATCGATGCAGCTATGATATTTTTACACGAATTAGAAGAAGACGTAGCGATAATTTCTGCATACTCAACTCAAAATTTGTATTTTTTGGATTATGACACTACTAAAGTAAATGAGCGATGTGTATATGTTTATTTGCCTCCACTTAGTCCGAAGATTCCCACAATTCTCTCTTACTCATATCTATTTAAGAGTTTGACCAACCATCTCTTCGATGACAGGCAAAAGCCCTGGTGCAGACAAAATCCCGTACCCCGTTCTAAAAAATCATCCGTATCCCATCAAACATAGAGTCATTCAACTCCATAACTACATTTTATTTCAAGGGTTATATCATCAAGAGTAGGAAACTGCTATTATTATTCCTATTGCCAAACTAAATACGCTAATGATATTTTAATTTTTTCTAAAACTAAGGACTTGACGCAAGTAAAAATTATTTTTTCTAACATACTAAACGATCTAATCAATTGGTCCTAATCTTCAGGAGCTCAGATTTAAGCTGAAAAAGTAATTTTTTCACATATGCAGAAAATACAAATAAATACATACATCCAACCCTCTCCTTGTCTAACACCCCTCCCCTATACTGATACATTGAAAATATTTGGAATGATTTTTTACAATAAACCTACTTTTAAGCAGAACTGTCATTATGTAAAAGTTGACTTTGGGCTCGTAATTTATGGACACTGCGCAAAAAAACATCTTAAATTGCTACAAACACCTTACTATGTAGCAGAGGAGAAAAAGCATCCGTGCATTTCCCACCTCGCCAATAAAAGCTATCTCTCACGTCGAATCCTGCTTTCAACAAAAAAACTGATGTAGCAAGCAATCACCTTTATTTCGTATATTAATCTACATCAAAGATTTCGACATCATCCGATGCTTACTAAAGTAAAAACTCTACCGCAAGGGCATTTGCCCAGTTTGATACTCATAAATTACCTGGGAGCTTATTTTCACAGACGGTTCCAGATATGGTGGTAACAAAAGGGCTGGGTGTTACAATTGTCTTCAGTGCTTTTCCCCCGTACTGCTCGGCATTTACAGCCGAATCAGCTGTACGTTTCGCCTCTATAAACGAAGGAAATTTCCTCATCTGAACGGGCAGTAAACCAACCAGCGAAGCCTCTTTTAACAGTGCTAATGATTCTCATATAATTTCGAAATCACGTGAAATACTTTTTTGACACAAAAACACATTTAAAATTATGTGGTTACCTGGGCACATCGGAATTGAAGGGAACGAATTTTCACACCTATGATTTCTGCATTAAAATCTTAGTTTAACATAGTATTTACGTCTAAAGAACTGACATTTTCATTATTCTGCAAAACCCTCTATCAGCAAATTTTTCTATATAAATAGTTATAATTCGAATTGCAATAACCTCTATCTGATCTTTAAACTAAAATTAAATGAATTAAAAGTAAAAAACTAGTTTTAGTATATTGCGTGAGTATTTAAGACATGCGTGTGTACTTAAAATTATTAACACTTTTAAAAACAGCTGCCAAAACAGTTTTTTTGCTCTCCAGAAAAATTGAGTTTTTGCAGATAGAGGGTATTGAATATAAGCCCTCGATATGTATCTATTTTGCTATTGCTATCGTATTTCCTATTCATTGTTGTTCGCAATACTCTAAGCTTTCACAATTATTTAACTTTGAATGAGTGTTAAACTTAAATTAACCTACATTATTTATATTCTATTTTTATTTCAGATTATTTAATCGCGCGTATTGCATCATATTTGTCGTAGACGATCAGCCTGCAGCTTGCGTATGAGTGAGTATTCATATTACTTAATTCAAGAAATTTCCTGAACACATAAAAATTATATATGTATTTGTAAATTTAAAACTTTGCTCACTGTGGGTTCATTTCTGGGTTCAATGCAATAAATAATATTTAATAGAAAAATGCAATTTTAAGTACGGGTACAAATTAGAATTGTTATAGAATTTTTTAGTAAACTTTTATGTATGTTGGGAAAAGACATGCAGTATAAATATTTAACAGAGGCTTATTTGAAAGACTTTAGAACCAAGATATCTTTTACAGAGTTGCCACCTACTTATTTACTAAATACATTTTTAATTTAAATTACACAATTTGAGTAAAATATGCTTATGTAGGTATGAAACGAAAAGTATTAAACACCCCAATTAAATTGACGCTCTTTAAGCATTTTAAAATAGAGTTGCCATCTGTTGCAAAAATAAAACTGTTTAGGACCGTAAGCAAACCTAAATATAACTGTCCTGATACCATACCAGGAGATATGGGAGCTATCCATGTATTCATGAGCAGAGTTGCCATCTGCAAAAATTATAAAAAAATTGAAGAAATATCTATACGCGATTTTCGCTCTAAAACTAATAAACTGATTTAAGTCATACATATGTATTTTAAGCAGGATTTGTTGGAAAAAGCAACAAAGTCTTAGCGGTAGAAGTTTTACATAGCTGCTATATCTTGTTTTAGTTTTTGTATATTTTTATCATTCATTTACTTAACCTTCCTTTTACCCTCATTCCCACTACGATAGCAAAAGTCAGAGTTGCCTACCTTTCTCTGACGTTGAGATACTTAATTAATTACGAGTGCGAGTAAAAGTCAATAAGCTTTTTATACAATTACAACAACTTCATTGTTTGTGAAAATATGCAATAATTAAAAATAATGAG